CCTACTTTATTTTTTTATGAATAAGGCCATTACACTTTAACTTATTTGGTTTATGTTATGTAACAGACTACACTTAATTTCAGTTTTTTTTAAGTGATGGACAAAATTTAAAGATAGTAATCCATATAAGCAAAAAAAAATTGGGTTGCCAATGGAAGAAAAAATTTAAAAAGTGTGTTTTTTAATAAGTATTCGATACTACGAGTACTTTGCAAAGTATCGAGTAAAATCACCAAATAAGGTATCGAGTATTAAAGTACTCATTTGTATACCCTCAGTATCGATACTTACTCAATATCGATAGTATCGTTCGAACCCTAGGCGCAATATTTAACTTTTCTGGCGGGGCGACATCTAGAGTCTTCTATTTGTATCTCTACAACGAGGTTGATATCTAGAATTTACCATAACAGCGTTGTAATATGTACATATGTATGCCAGGCTTTACCAAAGTGGGTGACGCGGCACCCTAGGGTGCCGCTAGTGGCTCGAGTATACTAGTGGTGCGGGCAAATAATTTAGACTTTCCATACACAACGCAAGCGGTTTGATCAAACTTCTAAATGGCGGCCAGAAAATCAAAAATTTTGATTTCTATTAAAATTACCTTCAGCGGCTCGTCAAACCCCATACGCAACACAAATAGCTTGCAGCAAAGGGATATTTCGCTTTAAGCTTAGTTCCCCAGTACGTTTTTTTCCGCGTAAAATTGAATCAGAAAAATAGTCGAAAACGTACCCTTTTCACAACCACTTTCGGTACTTTTGTCCAGGGTTCGGAAATTCTCACTCACATTCTCTCACGTTCGCGATCGATAATATTCCAAATCTATTTTTGCATTCTTTTATCGCGAGTGAAAAATGCAAACAAATTTATCATCTCTCACATTCGGAATGCGATCGACAAAATTTTCCGCTGTTTTTATTCGCGATCCAAAAAAGCACAGAAATTTCCTCTCATTCGAGTATGAGAAGTCCGAGCATTGCCGATGTCGGCCTCTCATAAATGAGAAAAACGATGCAAGTAATCCATTCGCGATCACTCACAACAGCTTATCGCGATAAACTTATCGCGAAAAATTTTCAACGACGTTGTATGGGAGATATTTTGCGCGTTTGTTTTGGGTATGTATTTTGTTATGCATACAGCGTACATACATATGGATATATGTAAATGTCAGAAATGCAAGCAAATGGTTTTCGCTTGGAAGGAATGTAGGAATATGCAAAAATATATGAATTATGGTGGTAATATACATATAAATTACATACATGCATACGTGTAGTTAAAGTATATTCCAAGCGTACACTTTTCGGTATAATGGTGTATCTGCATGTTATTTTATTATAATGATTGAGTTTATTTATTATATATAATAAATTGAACTAATTGGTGATAAGATTGGCTAATGAGAGAGGTGGGAGTCAGGTGAAGACTGAGAGTAAAGAAAAGCAGAAAAAACAATACATATAAATTTTTTATTTATTTTAAATGTTTTGATTCGCCAGTGGTAGAACTAATAGAAAAGCTTTTCCAGTAAATTATGGAATGTGCTAGTCGGGTATAAGAGGGCGAACACATTTCTTTATCCAAACATCGGTAGAGAGGAGTTTTATACAGTGCTTAGTAGCGACTATTTAGATAAATAAACGATATAACAATATTGAGGAGAGACAATGGGAAGGAAAAAAACTGATTTGCAAAATTACGTTAAGTACGATGAAACTACCAAGAAAAGTACAAGCATTCTAGAGTCGTGTAAAAGAGAGCTTAGTGGATTATTGCGAGGAAATATTAAAAGACATTATAAACTTATACACAAAATAGGTATAGAAAATAGTAATAAAAGTGATGATGATAATACTTCTACCACAAAAAAAACGAAAAACCGTGTCAAAGTTAACTACTAATTTAGACAGAGATAGTTTTTTGAGATGCTGTGTGGGACTAGTCACCAAAAAAAATATTCCCTTTCGAATATTTGATGATGAGGATTATTTTAACAACTTATATCACCATACGAGCAGAAGTTTGGTGTATATTTAAACTCAAAGAACATAGTAAGCCTTCTTGACAAAGCAAGTCAGCAAATTAAGGAAAAAATAGGTCATTCGGTAAAAAATAAAATAATATCTATAAAAATTGACATCGCAACTCGCATGGAAAGAAGCGTGCTGGGGATCAGCATCCAATACATTAAAGATTACAAAGTCGTTGTTCATATAATTGGTAAGTAATTTCGTTTTATATAAACTAGTGTTCGCCCAGTGGTTGAAATTCAACCGCTAGAATTAAGGATAGTTTATGTGAGTTGAGTTGAGCTGAAATAAAATTTGTTGGAATGGGTTAAGTGGAGGGGAGTTTAGCTTAGTACTTAGCATAACATAACATAGAATAGCGTTAGATTCAATATTTTATCCCTATCACTTTCTTCCTCTCTATCTTTGTCTCTATCGCTTTAATGTTTATGTTTATGTTTATGTTTATGTTTATGTTTATCTACACCTTCATATTCATGTTCATGTTCATGTTCATGTTCATGTTCATGTTCATGTTCATTTTCATGTTCATGTTCATGTCCATGTTCATTTTCATGTTCATGTTCATGTTCATGTTCATGTTCATATTCATCTTCATCTTCATCTTCATCTTCATCTTCATCTTCATCTTCATCTTCATCTTCATCTTCATCTTCATCTTCATCTTCATCTTCATCTTCATCTTCATCTTCATCTTCATCTTCATCTTCATCTTCATCTTCATCTTCATCTTCATCTTCATCTTCATCTTCATCTTCATCTTCATCTTCATCTTCATATTCACCTTCGTCTTCATATTTATCTTTTCCTTTATCCTGATCTATATCTTCATTATTTTCTCCATTTACGTATTTACCCCCACCATTGTTATTAGGTTAGGTAGTTAAATTTTCCTTCCTCTTTTTCTTTACATTGTTTCTTTAGTGATATCATGTCATGTGTTGAAATTGGGTGTGATGAGTTGCAGTGTGGTGGAATTGGGTGTGGGAGTTACGGTGTTATGATTTCAGGTGTGGTGGTCTTAAGAGGTGTGGTGAATTTAGTTGTATTGAGTTGAGGTGTGGTGAATTAAGGTGTGGTGAGTTAAGGTGTGGTGAGAAAGTTGAGGTGTGGTGAATTAAGGTGTGGTGAGTTAGATGTGGTGAGAAAGTTGGGGTGTGGTGAGTTAAGGTGTGGTGAATTAAAGTGTGGTGGATTTAGGTGTGGTGAATTTAGGTGTGGGGAGTGAAGTAGTGGTGGATTTAGGTGTGGGGAGTTAAGGTGTGGTGAATTAATGTGTAGCGAACTCAGGTGGAGTAAGTTTTTAAGCGGAGGTGAGATGAGTTGAGGTGAGTTAAGTTAAGTTAAGGGGTTAAGTTAAGATAAGTTATCTTTATCCTTATCTTCATATTCATCTTCATCTTCTTCCTCGTCTTGGTCTTCATCTTCTTCTTCATCTTTATCCTTTCCTTTATCCTGATCTAAATATGTCCATTCTTTTCTTCATTTTCATATTCACCCCCACCATTGTTATTAGGTTAGGTATTTAAATTTTCC